ATGTGCAGCACTTTAGGGTTTTGAAAGATGGACTAGGGCAGTTCTTCATATGGGATGAAGTCTTCAGCTCCCTCAACCAGCTGGTGGACTTCTACAAAATCAACAGCATTGCCAAAGAGAGAACTGTCTTCCTGAAAGAGCCCGAGGGATCATTAACTGTAAGAGTTGTCACATGTATAAGAGCACATGATGTTTTTTTTACCGAGGTGCCAAAGTTTAACTCTGGTGAACTCTGATCTACAAATTTGCGACGCGAAAGGATGTCTGACCAATAAAGGTTATAAAATGAAACGTTGATCTCTTGGCTCAATGCACAATGCAAACCTACATGGATTGAACTTGACATCATATCCTGTTGCTGATATTTGTTATGATCTCTTTGAACCAAACGCGACCCCTCCTTAATCAGTATATCATTGCTGAGTTTAGAGGTAGTTAAAGGTTAAAGGTTAGAGTTGAGCTTTGGGTTAGGGTTACCTATGGATGCCAGTTTTCACAGAGTTATTTTGTTTGTTTATTTCTCATAAATTGTGACTTTATATCTAACAATTGTGTCAGTGTTTTTTCAGAAGTTACAATTGCAACTATATTTCTCCTGAATTTAGATTTTATTTCTTTAATTGCAACTTTGTTTTGTGACTTTATTTCTCATAGTCATTACTTTATAACTCACAGTTTTGGCAACTGTTTTTTCACAAATGTAAACTTTTTCTCATAATTGCAATTTTTTTTATAATTGAGACGTTTATCTGATATTTTGAACTTTTTTTCCTGTAATTGTGACTGTATGTCACAATTGCAACTCTTTCTCCTAAATTTCAGTTTTATTTCTTGTAATTGCAACCTTTGTTTCTTACATTAGCTACATTATTTCTGATAAGCATGACTTTATATCTCACAACTGTGGCAACTTCATAATTGAGACTTTTTTCTTGTAATTGTGACTGTTTCTTACAATTGCAACTTTATTTCTTCTGAATTTAGATTTTATTTCTCATAATTTACTTTGTTTCTTACATTTGCGACTTTATTACTGACAGCCATGACTTTATATCTCACAGTCGTGACTTTGTTTCTTACAATTATTACTTTTTTCTTGTAATCGTGACTGTATCTCACAATTGCAAATTAATTTCTCCTACTTTTTTAATTAATTTCTTCTAATTGTGACTGTTTCTTACATTTGTGACTTTATTTCTGACAAGCATGACTTTACATCTCACAACTGTAGAATCTTCATCATAATTGAGACATTTTTCTGATATTTTGAACTTTTTTTCCTGTAATTGTGACTGTATGTCACAATTGCAACTCTTTCTCCTAAATTTCAGTTTTATTTCTTGTAATTGCAACCTTTTGTTTCTTACGTTTGTGACATTATTTCTGATAAGCATGACTTTATATCTCACAACTGTGGCAACTTCATAATTGAGATCTTTTTCTCATAAATGCATTTTTTTCTTGTAATTGTGACTGTTTCTTAAAATTGCAAATTAATTTCTCCTACATTTTTATATTATTTCTTCTAATTGCAACTTTGTTCCTTAAATTTGTGACTTGATTTCTAACATGCATGACTTTACATCTCACAAATGTGTTTTTGTGAGACGTTTTTTTCCCATAATTGCAACTTTTTTCCTGTAATTGTATCTCACAATTACAACTTTTCTCCTAAATTTTAGTTTTATTTCTTCTAATTGCGACCTTTGTTTTTTACATTAGCAACTTTATTTTTGACAGTCGTAACTTTATATCTCACAATTGTAGCAAATGTTCTCCTAATTGCAACTTTATTCTTGTAATTATGACTGTATTTCACAATTACAACTTTATTTCTACTAAATTTCAATTGTATTTCTTCTAAGATTGAAAAACATGTTTTCATAATTACAGTTATTTTTTCATGATTGTGACTATTGCAACTTTATTTCTCCTAAATTTAGATTTTATTTCTTGTAATTGCGACTTTATTTCTCATAGTCATGTCTTTAAATCAAACAATGTGACTTTCTAACACGTTGTATTGTTACTCTGAGGTGGAAACAGGTTTTCGTAGGTAGGACTATGTTTTGTTTGACTGCTGATCCAGTGCACAGTCTTGTCATGTCCGTCATTTGTGTGTGTGTTTCTGTTTCAGAGGCCACGTCATGCCCATGCCCTCTTTGACTTCACATCTAATCATGCGACTCATCTACGTTTCTTGCGTGGTGATGTCATCGACCTGCTCGACTGTTCGGATGCTCAGTGCTGGAGGGGGCGATGCCGTGGAAGAGTGGGCATATTTCCACCAGAGTATGTGAAGCCAATTTATCACTGAATTTCAGCTATGTGTGTCACCATCCTGTACAGTCAAACTCACTGGATGAGAGCCCAAGACATATTCATCAGTCACACATATTCTTCATAAATCTGAAGGTAAACTAAGCCTTATTCATCAATGTTTGGTGTATCAGGTGATTATGGTTTTTAAGGCTTAAATTTAACCTTATGTGTCAAAGGTCAACCTTTGCCCATCATCTTCTTTGTTGATCGCTGTCAGAAGGCAAATCAGAAATCAGTTATAACTTGTCAACAAACCAGTTGTATAACACCTTTAATGAACATAACAATTGATCAGCCATTATCTGAGCTTCCTGTCTATTCTTCTTTCAAATACTTTAAAGTCCTTTCAAACAAAGGCATGACATTAGAATTGGAGTATCAACCTTGCATTGTTTTTGCACTTTCCTTCACTGATGCATTATCATGTCTTTTTTTCAAGCAGAAGTGAGTCAGACCTACTATGTATTTCTTTTATTCAATATAAAGTTCTATATACATGAGTTTGGGAAATATTATATTTATTTTATAATTTTTTTTCATTATTGTGCTTATGCCATAAACATACTTTTGATGATTACTAATGACTTAGATTTTTAGATTTTTGGGATTTAAAAAATGTATTTATTTCTGTGAAATTACTTTCTCCAGGCCCAGATTAATATGCAGAGACAACTTTAAATCATTTGCATGTTGATTTCTCTGTAAACACTGTGGCTTCCTGGTGCTATCTAAACATTTGCTCAACCAATGATGTAAGTTTGGGATGGGGCTATCATTTTGATCATCCAATGGCAGATTGGGTGAGTGTCCAGGACGCCTGTCACATTTATTTTTGTAATTCTGTTAAATGCCACAGAAATGACACACTTTACCTTTTTTTCATTTATTTGATTTGTATTTTTTACTGTAATGTTGAAATAATTACCATATTTAATTTAATTTAGACCTCTAGTAATTATTATAAATTGCTAATTTAATTTCCTAAACAATAATTTAACAACTCATTGAAAAAAAACCAACAGAAAATGTATTTATGTTGTTAAATACAGAGGTGATTATAAAAAGTATTGTATAGGATACATAATATATATATATATATGTATGTGTGTGTGTGTGTGTGTGTGTGTGTTTGTGTGTGTGTGTGTGTGTATGTATTTTGTAAATTAATTTCTGTACCTATTATTAGAGTGAGAGCAAGTTATTTGATTGTTATCATTCATATGTTTGTTCAGGAAGACCGCTGACTGATGTTCTAATGGAAAACAAATGTTGGATCCGCCTATGCCATGTGAAAACATTTGGAACATATAGTGCTGTTTACGTCATGACCAAAAAATAAGCAATAATAAGCTGATATTATTTTTTGAGTGACATAATTAAAATAATTACTCTCTACTGATTATTTCATTTATAACAAGCAATGTAATTTCATTTACATTGTCATGTTCGATGTGTAAAATTAAAGGTTAAACTCTTATTTTTCCCTTGAAAATACTCCTGCTGTTCAATGATATGCAAAATATACCGTATATCAGCAAGCAAGGCTTAGCTGCCACACTGCCATTCTGACATGTAATGCAATAAAATATGAGACAGTCAAACTGCTGACTCAACTTTACACCTATTAACATATAAATTGCCTGTACACGTTTAGATAGCAAGCATTGCTATTTATGTTGTGTTATGATAGACACTTTAAATCTATAACTTTTGTAGAAATATAGCAATGTCAGGTGTAATATTGTGTGATGATGTAAGGATGTATTTTACAAGCACATATTGTCTCTATGAACTGTCAACTCAAGGGGAAAAAAATAAACTTTTATTTACTAAGTGTATTGCTTGTACTTGTATTCCAAATATAAAGGAGGTTTAGTATATCTAGTCCAAAATGTTTCAAATCTGCTAAAAAAAAAAAAACACTCGGTTTACACATTTGCTTTGTGATTTTAATGTGTCAACTTTCATTTGTACATTAACAATAAAACAATATAAATGAAGAGAAAAAATTTAAACATGAACACCCACAAATATTTAACAGTTAGCGTTTCTTATAACCCACCCTAATTTTCTGTTCTTAAAATCATTCACAAGCTGTTCTTACAATCATATAAACTAATGGCTACTCTCACACTATTGTTGAAATAATGATTTAGACACAAATTACAGTAATTGACATGCTGTACAAAAAAATTACAGTTTAATCACAGATCATTAATTTCCAAGAAGCAAAATGGCAGTTAAATTTACACCCACATCTTTGGGAGTATCTAATGAGCATATTTATTTTTTCCCAGTCAATGTGAACATATTTATCAAACATAAGCTCTTACTATAAGCGTAACGTATTACCTTTTAAGCATGCTCTGTGAGAAAACTCATGGTCATTTATTTTTTGCTCTATTCTCAAATACAGTTATTTTACGCAGTGCATATATGCATTATATATATATCTAACTGAACAACTATTAAAACACAATCTATAAAATATTTTATGTAGCCCAATAATTTAAAGGGATTTTATGGAAGCTTGTTTCCTCCATGGGATAAAAAATTGAAGGTTTGAAGGTATTTGTGACTTCTTTTCTCACAATTCTGAGAACAAAAATATTGTGAGATATAAAGTTAGAATTGCGACATATAAACTTGCAATTCTGAGAAAAAAAAAAGGTTGTGATAGTAAGATACATACTCGCAATTGCAAGAAAGTCTTATCAGAAGTCTAGGTGATGCATTTGTACCAAAAAAACAAAAAACTATGTGTGTGGCGGTATGTGTTACGCATAGTAAGCATAGAGGAAGATGTTGATGCACATGAGAATGATGGCATTGACACAACAGAAACGAGACCAGAAGGGATCTTCTCTGGTGCTGTGAATTATAGGAGGTGGTGTCCCGGTTGCAAATCGTCCAGGTCGAGGGCTACAGAACCCAGTGGTGCGTACACACTTACCCCTGCACACAGACTCACAGCCTAAACAAAAATGCTGAATGTGAAATTAACTAGCAAGGGAGCTGTACAGTGATAGTATCAAATGGTAATACCATAGTGCTTTGTTCTATACTAGAGTACTGAATGATTGCATGTTCATAAACTATGGGATTTACATGCTTTCTAAGGTTCTTGAAGGAATACCAAAAACCTGAAAACCTGACTTACAGTACTTAAAAGGCTTTATAGCTGATTTAAATCACATATTGCATGATTGCATGCTGAGACATTAATTTTAAACTTCATTACAATTTTCTAACGTTGTGTTTGGTAAAATAATCCACTGCATGCAGTAAGCTTTCATTCAAAACCAAGAAAATGACAATTGGTATATCTCAGTTCCTTGTGTGTGTTCTCACGCATATAATACACTTTTGTTTTGTCAACTGATACATATATGTAGAACAGCACCACACCCTGATGAATAGGCCACAACAATCCTCATGAGATCTATCATGCTGTAAACTCCTTACACACCTCCGTTCTGTATTAGGAAACTGGATTAGTGTGTGTTTGACTACTTGTGAAGTCCAAAATGTCCTCACTATTCAAAAATGTCCTTATTAATATAGTGACTAGTCCTCACTAGTTTATGAGGCTTGCTGTATAAATCAGCCAAATCATGTTTCTATTTAAAACTAGTTATATTAAGGGCTAGAGTTCTGTTTAGGTGATAGAAAATATCACTAAACCCAATTTAAAAACAATGGAAGTCTATGAGATGTCCTCACTAATATCATGAAACAAATGTGTGTTCCATACCGTCTGTCCTGCAGCTAAGAGTAGCTACTTTCTGTACAGGTATTTCTCTCTCGGTGCTGTTATGTAAAGTCCACCAGGTAAGATTATGTGTCTGAAACCAAATCAAACACAAGCCACTTGAGACATGATATACCGTATACTATGGGGTTTTATTGAATTTAGTAAATCAATTAAATTTCAAACAAATCTCAAAGGAAGGGATTGATTAAGAATTCTACGAGTACAATTAAGAGTATACTATAGTATACTAAGAGAATAGCATAGTATACTGGGGGGCTATAAATACTGTCGAGGCTAGGGTATCTTTGAAATGGCATACTACTATACTATTTTTTATTGTTTCTGCAGTATATAATGCACAGGTTTTTTTTCTGAATATTTAATTCTGTAGCCTGTAATGCAATTCACTTGACCGAACCTTTCATTTCCAGTCAAACAAATGAAGTGAAATTAATATCAGCAATGATTTAAGCTATTTGAGAGTTGAGACAATTTTGAACAAAACTGTAGCAAAATAAACCAGTAAATTGCAGAATTAAACATGCTTGCAATGAGGTAATGTGGCAACAATGTAGCATATTGCACTACTGTTTGCATAATGCAAAACTGTTTCACATACTGCATCAAGTACAGTACTATTTAAGTCTGATGTCAGTAAGGTTTTACTGAAAGAAATTAACACTATATTTAGCAAAGATGCATTAAAGGGTTAGTGCACCCAAAAATGAAAATTAGCCTGTGGTTTACTCACCCTCGAGGCATCCTAGGTGTATATGACTTTCTTCTTTCAGACAAATCCATTCGGAGTTATATTAATAATTGTCCTGGCTATTCCAAACGTTATTGTTGCAGTGGGTGGGTGTTTCTGTTGAACAGTCAAAAGACGTCAAATAAAGTGCGTGCATCCATAATAAAACGTGCCTCACGTGGCCCTGGGGGGTGAATAAAGATCTCCTGTAGTGAATCCATGCGATTTTTAAAAAAAGATACCCATATTTCAAACGTAATAAACACTTCTCTCTCACTTTATCTAACTGTCATAAGCGGAAGCAGTTCCGGCGGATGACGTAGGACGTCAGTGTTTTGCGTGATTAGTGACGAACACGGAGAGAGCACAAAACAAAACGCCGGTCACGAATTAGGCCCTGTCCCAAATGGCACACTTCATGTGCACTTTCACCCCTTGTCCAAATACCCACACTTGCGTTCTTGGCCACTTGAGAGCGCGTGCACGCGACAGGAAGTAAGTGCGCAAGACTGTCCCAGGTCTTAAAAACGCCAGAGCGCTGTGCCCTTAACGCACACTATCTCGAATACTGCTCCGGAGCGCTATTCGAGGCTTAGTGTATCCCATCATGCATCATATTCTGGAAATAAATCGTGAGACTTTTTGCCGAGATCTCGCGAGAGGTCACGGAAACCTTTCCAATGCAAGTTAAATATTAATATAATAATTAGATATTACATATAATTTGGTAGAAAAACAGTGTTTTTACGTTTTATTGGTGCAAAGATGAGTAGTGGTGATATTTATTTTGTACAACATTTGCAACTGCTTTTTATCACTTAATTAGAAGCACCACAAATTTAAATTGTCATGTTATAGGGACTACTGAACAGACATTTAGAAGTTGATTTTAAAATGCAAAGTATTTAAAATTAAAATTAAAATAAAGCTATGTAAACACTTGCATTTTTACAACACTACAAGTGTGTCCCATCAGGTAATGAAAAGTTCCACACACACTTGTGGTCTTCATCCTCACTTGAACACTTGGGCCAAATACAGGAAATACGTCATATAAGTGGTCAAGTGCAATGACCGCAAGTGTGGGTATTTGGACAAGGCATCAGTCTTGAGGACTTACAATGGCTGCTGCGTGCGCGTGTCCGTTAAGTCCACGAGACCGTAGGGTGTCCCATTCGTCATTTTAGCGTTCAGAAGGGTGCTCACGAGCGCCCCCTTTGCAGCCGCTATGTGCCCGCGATGCGCACTTCTGCTGAGCCCGCAAGCCTGCGAGCTACGCAGCCGACTTCTACCCGGCAGTCAAAGCGCCATTACATCACGAAAGTGCGGACTCTGAGGAAGACCGGGAGGGTTTAGGGTGCCATTTGGGACAGGGCCTTAGAAGTACAAACCAAGGATTTGTAAAGAAAAATGTTGGAGGATTTCGATATAAGCCAAGAGGAGACTGGTTTTCCTTCGCTAAAGTAAGGAAACTTTGCTTCCTTTGCTCCTGTGAACAAACTCGCTAGACTAGCATATATCAGAGGCGCGTGCTGCCCACACGTCCTGCGTCATCCGCCCGGAACGGCTTCCACGTACGACAGAGAGCGGAAGTGAGAGAAAAGTTTGAATTCTGTCAGGACCACTATCGTCAAAGATGATTGACAATTAGCATACAGTTTGGATTGGCGGTATGGTTCCGTTCTGGGCAAGAACTCCCTGCGCATCCATGCAGCCTAGCATGGATGAGAGCAGGGAGAGCAGCGATAACCCCCCCCAGGGTAAACAGAACAGAACCAACATAAATGTATTGCAGATATCGTTAAAGTTCAATAATGTTATGTACACATTTTAGAATTAGTCTGATTCAAAGGAGAATCAGAAGGCTGAATCCTGACTGACAGAGGAGGAGCTGGGGATGGAGGAGGGTAATTAGCTATTGAGCAATGCGAAAACTGCTGATACTACTGCTTGACCTTATGTGTGAATACTTAGATAGGTGTCGTATTCCCATAGGTTGATGGGGATCAGCTGAGAGTCAGCTGATGCGAGCTTGACTAACGTGACCTGCCAGAACTAACGCTACGCTAGATTTACGTTTGAAATATTGATATTTTTCTTACAAAAACGCATGGATTCGCTACAGGAGGCCTTTATTCATGCCCCGTAGCCATGTGAGGCACGTTTTATTATGGATGCGCGCACTCTATTTGACGTCTTTTGGACTGTTCAACAGAAACACCCGCCTACTGCAATGATAATGCTTGGAAGAGCCAGGACAATTTTTAATATAATAATTATTATAATAATAATAATTAAAATTTAATATAATATCCAATACCTCTGATTGGATTCATCTGAAAGAAGAAAGTCATATACACCTAGGATGCCTCGAGGGTGAGTAAAACACATTTTCATTTTTGGGTGCACTAACCCTTTAAATTATTTAAAAGTGACAGTAAAGACATTTATGATGTCACAAAAGATTTCCATTTCAAATAAATGCTGCTCTTTTAAACATTCTATTCATGAAAGAATCCAGTTTCCACAAAAATATTAGGCAGCTCAACTGTTTTTAACTTTGATAATAAGAAATGTGTCTTGAGCATTTTAGTATGATTTCTGAAGGATCATGTGACACTGAAGACTGGAGTAATGATGCTGAAAATTCAAAATATAAATAAAATAATAATAATAAAATATAATTAATATATTTTATTATTAATTATAAAATATAATTAATAATAAAATATATTAAATTAGAAGACAGTTATTTCCAATTGTAACAATATTTCATAACATTACAGTCTTCAGTGTATTTTAGGTCAAAAAATGCAGCATTGGTTAAGGGACTTCTTACAAAAACATTTAAAAAAAAAAAAACTTACTGACTCCAAACTTTTGAAAGGTAGTAAACACCATTCTGAACAAAGTCAAAGTCTAAAGGTCAGAAAAGGAGCTACAAGAATTATTATTATTTTTTTATATTTGTTAATAATTCTTATTTTTTTAAATCTATGAAAGCATTACCTGGCATAAATGCTATTACCTGTTCGTCGGTGGGTGGAGGGGTCAGTAGACTGATCACCACCACAACAATAACAGTCAGGGCACAGAGTATGATGGCAAAGTGCAGGTAGTGTACACTCCTCAAGACAGAGGGAGCAGGGTCAAAAACACCACAGCGAGGGGGAGGAAACACAAACTCTAGAACCATCCTCGTCAATCCCACCGCTAGACCCACCATCAAGCCCCAGAATGCTCCCTGCTTACAAAATACCAAACAAACACACATGAGGAAAACTCTTCAGGAAACCTCTTAGCATTTACGTTTATGAATTTGGCAGACACTTTTATCCACAACTTGCAGTGCATTTAAGATACACATTTGATCGGTTTCTTGGGAATTGAACCCATGACCTAGGCGTTGCGAGAGTCATGCACTACTGTTAGTGATAGGAAGACTTATCATTCTCTGGTGCTCTACATACCAACAGTGGTGTTCCTTTTACTCAGTGTGTTATATGAGCGTGGGAGACTGTTAAACTAATAATATTTTTAAACATTTCAGGTATCTTGAGAGGATGCACTAAATGAACTCTGAGCTGAGATTCCTGACGTGACAGGCTCTTATGTGCTTTTTTAATGTACTAAAGGGTGGAGTGAGGTGTGAAAGTCCCTTGACAAACAGCAATTCCTGTGAAGCATGTCATATTTCAGTTATATTTATTCAAGTGTTTTGCCAAAAATGTGTTGCGTGTAAAGACAGTAGATATGAACTATTATGTAAGTTAAACTGATTTTATTCTTGTACATTTTGTGTCACTGACTCACACGGATGCACTTACACAAATACGTTCACTGTAACGATTTATTTCTTACCCAATGAATGTCACCTGGCCAGTTTTAGTTTCTTTAGGCAGGCTTCTTTTTTGGGGGGGTGGGGGGACATTAGCTTTCGCCATAACATGGCCTAACCTTAAACCAATGTTAAAGTTCTCTACTTACTGGCTTTTTTTCCAGAGCAATTATACTTGTCTGAGATCTCACAAACTAAAATGGGTATTTCCTTTTTGCTATGGGGGACGGAGGATAACTTTGCACTAAATTACCCTTCAGGGTACAAACGAACAGGCATTTTAAAATCCCACCCTTCCAGTTTTAAAGCTCTTAAATGTTTAATTTGACAGGTTTTGTTAAACAGCCTGGCTAACAGCTAATCTTTTGCTAAGTTACAGACAATGTGAGCCGATACGGTCACTCTAATGCAGTCAATGAGAAAACTGCAGTTTTGTTCTTTGTAAAACATCCAAGATAATCAGCCTGGTACACCACAATCCTTCTGAAACATTCATTCTAAGCATATTTTTCAAAACACATTGGGTTTGGGGGGATTTCACAGAATCGAACAAATCACATGACCTTTTTTTCTGCATTGTCACACAATGTTTCTCCTGTTCTAAGTATATATCTTGTTTATTCCCAGCAAAGAGATCTATCTCTTTGTATCTATCTCTATAGATACAAATCTATCTCTATCTACCTATCTATCTATCCTTTTCACTGTAACATTATTATACTAATAAACAGGATAGAAGACCACTGTCACACGCATTTGGAAAGATTTTACTGAATGAAAAAATAAAATGCAGCTTAGACACGGGTGTGACTTATCAATGTGTTTTCCATTTCAAAAACACAATATATAATGACTCAGCGACACCAATAAAATGGCTTATATTAAGGTGTGACCTACTTTCTGTACAATAAAAGTATCTATCTTATCAATCACTTCCAAGTGAAAGTTACGCTCTCTTTTGCTCTCATTCAGACATGTACTCACTCTTTGTGTGTTTTAACAGACAAATACACACACCCTCACTAATGTGCTACATTAAAATAGGCAGACATTCCTTCTTCACGAGAGAGAAGTGGTTTCTTCGAATGCATGTGAGTGTTTAATTTTGGTATGTCAATATGTACATAGTCTAAGTGAGGCCTCAGACTGTGTTTATGTGTGTGCATTACCGCCTCATTAGTTCTTTTCCAGAAAACAGCCATTACAAAAATGGCAGTAACAGGAGGGGCTAGATAGCTGGTTACTGACTGGATGTAAACATACAGCTGACCGCTGTTAGCACTCTGAAGAATCGGGATCCAAACCACGCTAATCACCACCAAAATAACAGTCACTATCCTGGGAAAACAAATGGACATACATTTTATGATCATCTTCAGTTTCAACCACAGTGGAAAATGAAAGTCATTATGTTAATGACTTTAAAGTTAAGTTCTACTACAAAATCTAAATCCTATTGGACCCTATTAGTAATATTTGCTGATTAATTTATATTATTCACTATTAGTCTTCTTCCATTTTCTAGTTCTATAAATACATATTTGTGGTTTTATTTCCATTTAAATAGATCTCAACCCAATGACAGGGCATAAATATTAGCTAATCTAAACGATTAATCTACCCCTCGATGTCTAACTCATACTGCATTTTTGAGGCTATGAATCATTTCTACATTCTTTCATGTAAGTGCTTTTGAAAAAAAAAACACCATGATGTTGGATCTTAGACAAGTAACCTTTATGCATTACACAATGATTAATGATTTTAAATAGTAAACACCTGCCAACTAGCAGCAGCTCCTTCTCACTAGCACCTCTTCGATACTTCTTCCAGATGTCCATGGTGAAGAGGGTGCTACTGCTGTTAAAGATGGAGGTCAGTGATGACATTAAAGCGGCCATCATTACAGCGATCATTAACCCCCTGAGGCCTGGAACACACATGTACAATTGCATGTTTTATGCTAAAAAGACCATGCCATGGACTATGCATTTGGTAAAGTACATGTTAACAATTCAAACATATACACAATTTGAAAAAGCAAAAAGTGATTCTGATTACCGCTGGGCATGAGCTCGATGACCAGTTTTGGAAAAGCAATGTTGGAACAGCCCACCTCTGCACCACACACCTTTACACACTCTTCAGGGTCAACGCAAGCCACTGTGTCTGGGGAAAAAAAGATGCAATGATGTAGTTTATGTATATGTATATGTATACATATATATGTGTGTGTGTGTATATATATATATATATATATATATATATATATATATATATAGAGATACAGTGCCTTGCGAAAGTATTCACACCCCTTCCATTTTTTTCACGTTTTGTTGCTGCCTTAGGCTAAACTTCTTTAAATTACTTTTTTTTCCACACATCTACACTCCATACACCATATTGACAAAGCAAAAACAGAATTCTCACAACTTCGTAAATTTATTTTAAAAAAAAAAAGCACATTGCATAAATATCCATGCCCTTAACTAAATATTTAGCTCAAGCACCTTTACAGCCTCAACACTTTTTTGTTTGATGCGACAAGCTTTGCTGATCAGCATTTGGAAATTATCTGCCATTCATCTCCTCGCCTCTTCACCTCTCAAGCTCTGTCATGTTGGATGGGCGCAGACACACATTTTCAGGTTTCTCAAGAAATATTTGATTGGGTTCTAATTGGGATTGAAAGGCCACTCAAGGACATTCACAGAGTTGTCTATAAGCCATTCTCGCTGTGTGCTTAAGGTCATTGTCCTGTTGGAAGGTGAACCTTCTGTCCAGTCTGAGGTTCTGAATGCTCTGGACTAGGTTTTCTTTAGGGCTATCTCAATATTTTGGTGCATTGAGCTTTTCTTCTACTCTTCCACACTAACTAAAGCCCTTCTCCATCAATTGCTCAGTTTGGCCAAGAGGCCAGCTCTAGGAAGAGTCCTGGTTGTTTCAAACTTCTTCCATTAAGGGTAACAGAGACTACGTCTACATGCTTCTGTGACCCTTCAATGAAGCAGACTTTCTTTCTGAATTCTTCCCCAGATATGTGGCTTGACGCAAACCTGTTTCTGAGCTCTACAGGCAGTTCTTTTGACCACAGGGCTTGTTTTTTGCTCTGATATGCATTAACCACTGTTAGACCTTTTATTAAGACATGTGTGTGCCTTTCCAGATCATACCCATTCAACTGAATTTGCCACAGGTTAACTTCACTTGAAGTGTAGTAACATCTACAAGCAATATGAATTAGGGCTGTGCAATATATCGAAATATCGCAAATGTACATATCGCAATATGCATATTGCTACAGTTTGCAATATTTGGGGACATGAACAAAAGACAAAGAGAAAATCACTCACTGCTCTTACCTAAATAACATTTGTAGCTTAAATAAGAATCAGTGCATATTGAATTCAATGAGTAAATTCTATACGCAGTGTTTTATTTTTCCTTTTTATTATTCAGTTCCTAAACTCATGTTAAAATGATTACACTATAATGTTAAAATGAAATTGTTATGTAATGCTTGAGTAAAACACTACCATTCACTTTCAGAAGTTGTTGTAGGGGTGCTTTCTTATTAGAATCATAATGAGCTTTATTCACCACTTAAGTGTGCGCAAACACAAGGAATTTGTTGTGGTTGTACAGGAACTCTTGGTACATACATACATACAAATAACCATATATATATGACATAAGATAGTTATAGAAGTTCACAGAACTGACTCTGAAACTGACTTCGCCGAAAAAACTGTTTCATCTGAGCACGTGGTACTTTAAGCATTATCGTATCGCAAATAGTTTTTTAATTAATTTAATGAGTTATCGCATGTCACATTTTTCTCCAATATCGCACAGCCCCAATATGAATGCTCTTGAGCTAAATTTCAACTGTCCCAGATAAGGGTATGAGTACTTATACAATGGAATCATTTAAAGCTGCAGTCCGTAAATTTTGCCTCTTTGTCGCCATCTCGTTTGAAAACCTGCAATTGCAGCTGTAATTATTTTCCTTGCGTGGGTTGTGCGCCGGCGCGGCTACAGCGCGGATGAAGTATGTGTGGCAATCAGTCAGCGCAGTGTGGATATTTACTGTACTTCGCAATCACAGATTCTAGCCAATGTCTTGGAATATATGACCCAAATAAGAATTTTCACAGAATATTGTCATCTGAACAAGTAAATAACAAGTCTGCCACGTTTGTTCTGACCAACTGAGGAAAAAAGCATTACAATTAATCTAAAGATCGGTTAGCTCATATCACATCAAACCATGCAAATTATTATTATTGTTATACTTTATTCTCAAATTATTAATGTTAACAACATTAGCATTGCCTATAGTGTGTATTAGCGTATAGATTTCAATTTCTGTACAGTCTAATCTCTTAATTGTCATACCACTCGAATTTCATATTAAGAAATTATTTTAACCCAAAAAGCAAATTATGCTCTCTTCAAACTGGTTGTCTTTAAAATTCAAATCTTGTGTAATCCCAGGCTATCTGTAATCAGAAGCACATTTAAAACTGGAATATAATTTAATTTCATTCACATGTGTTTCATAAACACATAGTCCTTTCCGGATTACAATCCGCCACATATCGCAATATGCATATTGCTACAGTTTGCAATATTTGGGGACATGAACAAAAGACAAAGAGAAAATCACTCACTGCTCTTACCTAAATAACATTTGTAGCTTAAATAAGAATCAGTGCATATTGAATTCAATGAGTAAATTCTATACGCAGTGTTTTATTTTTCCTTTTTATTATTCAGTTCCTAAACTCATGTTAAAATGATTACACTATAATGTTAAAATGAAATTGTTATGTAATGCTTGAGTAAAACACTACCATTCACTTTCAGAAGTTGTTGTAGGGGTGCTTTCTTATTAGAATCATAATGAGCTTTATTCACCACTTAAGTGTGCGCAAACACAAGGAATTTGTTGTGGTTGTACAGGAACTCTTGGTACATACATACATACAAATAACCATATATATATGACATAAGATAGTTATAGAAGTTCACAGAACTGACTCTGAAACTGACTTCGCCGAAAAAACTGTTTCATCTGAGCACGTGGTACTTTAAGCATTATCGTATCGCAAATAGTTTTTTAATTAATTTAATGAGTTATCGCATGTCACATTTTTCTCCAATATCGCACAGCCCCAATATGAATGCTCTTGAGCTAAATTTCAACTGTCCCAGATAAGGGTATGAGTACTTATACAATGGAATCATTTAAAGCTGCAGTCCGTAAATTTTGCCTCTTTGTCGCCATCTCGTTTGAAAACCTGCAATTGCAGCTGTAATTATTTTCCTTGCGTGGGTTGTGCGCCGGCGCGGCTACAGCGCGGATGAAGTATGTGTGGCAATCAGTCAGCGCAGTGTGGATATTTACTGTACTTCGCAATCACAGATTCTAGCCAATGTCTTGGAATATATGACCCAAATAAGAATTTTCACAGAATATTGTCATCTGAACAAGTAAATAACAAGTCTGCCACGTTTGTTCTGACCAACTGAGGAAAAAAGCATTACAATTAATCTAAAGATCGGTTAGCTCATATCACATCAAACCATGCAAATTATTATTATTGTTATACTTTATTCTCAAATTATTAATGTTAACAACATTAGCATTGCCTATAGTGTGTATTAGCGTATAGATTTCAATTTCTGTACAGTCTAATCTCTTAATTGTCATACCACTCGAATTTCATATTAAGAAATTATTTTAACCCAAAAAGCAAATTATGCTCTCTTCAAACTGGTTGTCTTTAAAATTCAAATCTTGTGTAATCCCAGGCTATCTGTAATCAGAAGCACATTTAAAACTGGAATATAATTTAATTTCAATAGTTTTTTAATTAATTTAATGAGTTATCGCATGTCACATTTTTCTCCAATATCGCACAGCCCCAATATGAATGCTCTTGAGCTAAATTTCAACTGTCCCAGATAAGGGTATGAGTACTTATACAATGGAATCATTTAAAGCTGCAGTCCGTAAGTTTTGCCTCTTTGTCGCCATCTCGTTTGAAAACCTGCAATTGCAGCTGTAATTATTTTCCTTGCGTGGGTTGTGCGCCGGCGCGGCTCCAGCGCGGATGAATCTAGTGTTTTGAGGAGTATGTGTGGCAATCAGTCAGCGCACCGGTGGGGATATTTACTGTACTTCGCAATCACAGATTCTAGCCAACGTCTTGGAATATATGACCCAAATAAGAATTTTCACAGAATATTGTCATCTGAACAAGTAAATAACAAGTCTGCCATGTTTGTTCTGACCAACTGAGGAAAAAAGCATTACAATTAATCTAAAGATCGGTTAGCTCATATCACATCAAACCATGCAAATTATTATTATTGTTATACTTTATTCTCAAATTATTAATGTTAACAACATTAGCATTGCCTATAGTGTGTATTAGCGTGTAGATTTCAATTTCTGTACAGTCTAATCTCTTAATTGTCATACCACTCGAATTTCATATTAAGAAATTATTTTAACCCAAAAAGCAAATTATGCTCTCTTCAAACTGGTTGTCTTTAAAATTCAAATCTTGTGTAATCCCAGGCTATCTGTAATCAGAAGCACATTTAAAACTGGAATATAATTTAATTTCATTCACATATGTTTCATAAACACATAGTCCTTTCCGGATTACAATCCGCCATCAAAATGATACATTTAATTATTCTGGCTGCTGTGAGAATCCGCCACCTGCAGGATCCTCACATGCTATAGCCTAGTAGCCGGGACAACTTCTTAGTGTTTACAGACGTGACGTAATGATGCAGCAGCATGCTCGAATTTCCCGCGAAAACCTACCCGTACCACTCAAATTAGAAAACATTATTATAAACTAACCATTGTTAATCGTGCTAAAGTAAAGCGATTGTTTTGAACACTGACTGGTTATGTACTTGCTCAAATATTGATTTAGGATAATTTTGAACCAAAAATAATGTATGGACTGCAGCTTTAAGTTTTTATTTTTAACAAATTTGCAAAGATGTTAAAACCCTGTTTTTTTGCTTTAGCATGGAGTGTAGATTGATCTGGGGAAAAAAGTAATTTAAAGCAGTTTAACACAAGACAGCAATATAACAAACCGTGAAAAAATGAATACTTTTGTAAGGTACTGTATATATATATATATATATATATATATATATATATATATATATATATATATACACACACACACACACACAGAGGAGAAAACCATGGATATGCAAAATTACTTTACAAATATTGAAATACTATCTTAAAATCTTTAGCTTAAAGGGATTCAGCTGCCAAAATCATTTAAGAATCCCTGGCCTAATTAATAAGTAAAGTAATAATAATAATAATAAGATTAAAAAAACAAACTGATACTAAATAATCAGTGACAATCATTAATGAAAATGGAAATAGTAACATACAAATCCTATATCAAACTATCAAATATATCAAACAGAAGCTGTAGCTAACTGTCTGAATAGCAGGATATATAAAACCATTGCTAGAAGAAGAAAAAATGCACATTAATACAAATGGATTAAGAATAAAGTTCTTGTGGCACCTTCCATGTGTGACAACTAGCCCCAGGAGTCAATTTAAGTGTCTGCCTACTTATACAAAGTCAGGGGGGAGGAAATAGGAAGTGTTTCTTTTACCTTCTTTGGTTTCCTGCAACTTTTTTCTTCCCGGATACCCCGCCCAAACCCACGTAACTGTTGACTGACTCAACCGTGTAACATTCGGCTGCTCACGCAACCAGACATCCAGCCTCTTCCTCTTTCCAGCTCCACAGAAGCAGGACACGGTAACACAAAGCCCCACAGGACTTTACTGGACAACAAACTCAGGACATTATTTCTATCGGGAGACGTGGAAAAAAGTTTTGTTTAACTTGCAACCCTCTGGTGAACAACCCGGAAGCTTGTTTTTTCGTCGGCGTCGGAGGTTTCCAGGGTTCATGCTTTTGTGGAAGACCCTAAACTCGGATCCAGTCGGTCTGGCTGCAGTCTGTTGCGCGTATGTGTGTGTGTGTGTGTGTGTGTGTGTGTGTATTTGCCCCTCCCGGTCAGGTGACTGAGGTGTGTCTAATCACTAGTGCCTGTGGAGATGCTTTTGTTCAATTCTACCTGTTGGTTAACTGAAAGATGATCTCCGGCTCAGCGGTCAACTGCGTCCTGTACTGAAGTAGGACTCTGCTCGGGGAACATGATCAAATAACATGAGGCATCTTTTATAACTTTAAGAAACAATATCGCCTTTATTTTTATGAAAAAACGAGCTTTTTGGAGCCACTTTAGTTTTGACAAGAAAAAAATCGGTCTCACTTTACCATGGAAACCCTTTACCTCGATTGCAAAAGGAGTTTTCTAGAAGTTAACAACCTTTACTAAGAGTTTTGATACTTTTCTGGGATTATAGTGACACTTAAATAATAATAACGAGAAGAAATAAGAACTTTAATTCGGTTTGTGTGTGGAAACGCGATGGCTCTCTCTCAGGTTCAGTGTCTTGATGACAATCATGTGAACTGGCGTCTGAATGAATCCAAACCGGAGTTTTTTTACAGCGAGGATCAGCGGCTCGCGCTTGAAGCGCTTATTACGAAAGGACGCGACGCGTTTGACGCCCATGTGAAAGCGCACGAGCTGCGTCCTTTCCTGTCGGAACCCGAACTCGAGTGGTTGCGTCGGAGCATAGAAGAGTATAAACCCGGTTCTGAGCATCACAAACCAGATGGTACGACAGAGGGAGAGGACGGTGCGATTTCATTGCAGTATTGGCCGGACCGCTCTGATACCTCCATACCGAATCTGGACCTCGGATGGCCAGACTGCAATTCTTACCGCGGAGTGACGCGCGTCAATGTGTTCACGCAACCGCCAGTGGACGGGCAGACGACGCATATAAAAGAGGTTGTGAGAAAGGCCATCGCGCAAGCACAGAAGGTGGGTAATCTAGAGAAACTTGAAAAGGACGATTGTATGGTCAGTCAGCCACAGAAACACTGTACACTCTCAAAAAGAACCGTTCTTACCCGGTTCTTTGTGTAGGCTCTTCTGTGAGTATGGTGCAAAATCGTGAACGCAACCCAGTTTTGGCAAATGTCAATTATTTTAACCACAAGAGATTTGGTTTCAGATTTGTGATATGTAAAACTATACTAAATTGCATAATGACAGCGTTCACTTATTTTGACTGTGTCGTCCAAAACTTATGCTGAAGCAGCCGTCGGTTGCTATGGTTACACAAGGTCAAAGCGATTTCTGTTCTCAGATCCTGACAAACTTGTAGTCTAGTGTCTTGTGGTTACAGAAACCATACATATCTATGTCTGAAACGTTCTTGGGAAAACATTTCTGAACTTATGGAAAATTAACATTCATTTCTTGATGTTTCATCATAATAGTTTCTTCAGAACAGCTTATAAGTGCAATGAACAATAATACAATTTAATTGTGGACCTCAAAAAGTGTAAAACATTTTTTGGTCAAAAGTGTTAAAGGGGTCATATGACGTTGCTAAAAAGAACATTATTTGGTGTAATGAAATGTGTTTATGCGGTTTAAGGTAAAAAAACACACATTATTTTCCACATACTGTACATTATTGTTTCTCCTCTATGCCCTGCCTTTTTGAAACGCGTCGATTTTTACAAAGCTCATCGGTCTGAAAAGCGAGGTGTGCTGTGATTGGCCAGCTATCCAGTGCGTTGTGATTGGCCGAATACCTCAAGCGTGTGACGGAAATGTTACGCCCCTCCCAGACTGTTGATGCCGTGTCCGGCCGGAGTGACGAGACAAAAACATTAAAACCCATTATAATCGAGGCATTTGTTGCATCCAGTGGGGACATAATTATGGATTATAATGACGTATACTGTCTTTTTACGCGTTGCGTTGCGTTGCATCGCGCCGCGTAAACATAAACCCATGTCTGCATTTGTGATCGGAAAAATGACAAACAACAAGCCCTACTCTACACGGCCCAAAAAACTCGCTTTAAATATAAAAAAATATAAAAACTCTTTAAATATAAAAAAACGTACTTGCAGTCCGTGAGTCAGAACAGCCGGCATTGTAGTCTACTCTACCAGGATCAGGAAACGGTCCTCCATAAAATGTGCTGCACACATCTGAATATTTGGGTTGAAGTGTTCTGGAACAGTGTTGTAAATACAACTTAACCACTGATTTCTAGTCGTGTCCGTTTTTGGAAGACCAAACAAAGTAGTTTCACTTTCACAACGAAACACAGCGTCACACATGACGGCCTAGAGTTAGCAGAGGCCGGGGGCTAGCTTGAGAACGGCGCGGCCGGCGGATTCAACGAAGGAGCATCCGGAGGGCTTGCGGCAAACACATGTGATGACCCCGGGCTGGACTCCGCTTCGTCCACGGTGAAAGCCGATC